CGCCTGGCCTTAGCTTTATATTAATAATTATCACTGTAAATAAAGGCTAATTCAGCCACCTACGCACCTCTTTCCTCTCTCTTCATTACCCCTAGGTTTTCATTATGAAAAAGTATGACTTCAAATGAGACCTAGACGCATAATAGGCTGTGCTCCAACTTAAGAAAAGCACTTGCTGAAAGACAAGTCTTCATTACCTAAGGGAATAAATAATTGCCTATTAATAAATATGTACTGGAATATTACATTCTCATTGGCATAAAGTGTATATTTTGTTATAATAGTAAACTAACGTCTATTAAAAATAGTAGATGAGCAATTTTTGACCAGTGTCTTCTGGAATAGTTTTCTAGCAGATTCTCCCTTAAAAATAGTGTTGCATCTGCATAAACTCAGGAAAAGTCTGGCAACCCCAGGATTTTAACTTGGAAAGATAAAGCAACAAAGAGAGACCTAGGGAGCTATTAAGGAAACATCAGTGTGACTCAGATTTCCTTCTGTCATTGTCTATTTTCAGGTTCAATTTTGTCTGAAAACATTGTGTGTGTGTGTGTGTGTGTGTGTGTGTGTGTGTGTGTGTGTGTTGGGGGAAATCTTGGAGCAAGCAGTTGTAGTCCAATTACTCTCCTTTACAGTGGACTGACTCACTGGATTCCTGACAGGATACTACTGTAAATACACTCTCTCTCAACTGAGTTGCTGGTAAGTATTGAGTGGCAGGCAGATAAACACTTTACACCCAACCAATGGCTGGAGTATACACTACAGTATACAGTCGGGCCAAGGGAAGGACAGCCACATGTGTAGAAGCTGAGGAACGAGACATGGATAGATCTGAATAGGAGGTTCTCACCTTGGCCCACATGTTGTCCCAGTGTGTTCCCAAGAGCAGGGCCAAGACACCCTCAAACATTTTACTTCTGCTGTGTCAGACCAACAAGTAACAGAAGTCCCAAATTACAAAGCCATGCTTGAATATGACAAAAACTTTTACCCCCCACATTTTAAAACAGATATAATAAAAAACAGAATTTAGACATTTTCTGTGAGATAAAATAAATTCCCTTTACTTTTTCTAGAACTTGATTAGTGCTTCTTGGTTATGATATTCTTTGGTATACACCTTGTTATTTTGAAAGAGGAGGTGCAGATCCATATAGGAAAAATTAATAAACAGAAATACAGGTTTAAATTATAGCTAATTATCAGAAATGCTATGACTACATAGTTTAACGTTAATGCTACCTATTTAGAATGAACTATTGTCTCAAAATATTTTGGTTGGATTTTTATTTTTTAAATCAAGGAATAGAAGAATCCAAAAGCCATTTCCTTCCCTAATCTTATTTATATCTCTCAGTCTCTTACATTCAATGCTTTTAAATCAATTACCTGATATTTTAAAATATCCACCTTATAAATCAAGACTATTATAGGAATAAAGTATATACTAAGTAATTGCTCCAAGGGAAAAAATAAAATTTTCAAGTTCTTTTACATTAATTCATATTTTATAAGGCAAGATCGGAGCTCTCCTATTAATTTTTTGAATGAACTAAAAATAATAGTAGGCAAAATTTTGACAATTCTTTCTGTTTATCAAACCAATGGAAATAGGCACATAGAAATTGACATTTAGTTCTATCTAAATCAATTGATATCAATAATTCAGCTTTGAGAAACCCAGATAGGTTGTACAAAAACTTACATGGGTTCTTCTATTTTTAAGGTTTCTTTTAAAAAGAAATTAATATTTGTCCAAAAATAATTCATTTTATCAGTGTCAGAATAAATTTCAAAATCTGAACATCTGGAAAGAAATGAAATGGCATTTTTTTTTTAGAGAGTGGGAATTTAAACATCTGTAAAATATTCTCCAACTGCTATCAGAGCCACCCTGGGTTCATAAGAATCCTTTTCATCCTGTGTCCATACTAAGATTTTCTTGTTACTGGAAATATAGGCAGAATATAAGAAAACATCACTTAATGACTAATTAATAAATAGAAAACTCCATCATCAAATTAGAGAAAAATAAAAACAAACAAAAAATCTCAAGGCCCAACACATTCAATAATTATGTCTCATTTCATGAGTATTTCCAAGAGTTTCCAGC